TTTAACGAACCTGGTTCGTTCCTCACATCACGATGCATCGCAACCTCATCAGCCACAACCACCATTAGCGACGACCACTCATTTTCGGCGAGCTCATTCGGTGAGCATCTGCGCAAATACTCATTCAAGTATCGGCTCACCATTGGGTACATCCGACTAGCCCTAGTTATCCCTTGCAGGCCTCCATGACTGTATGCCCCAAAGATAACGGAGAACGCAACCGGACCCCGATGCTCTCTTCGTGTGCCTCCTTCAACTCCACTGAAGGCAAGCTGCAGTAGTCGACCGCAGTGGTCGGATGTGAAGAGCTGATCCTGCAACAAGCTCTCTGCAAACGCCTCTGGGGCCAGCTGCACGGAACGAACAGCTCTTTTCCCAGTGACTCTTCTGCTTGGCACAATGGGAGAACCCCCTTGTGAGTGGTCAAAGCCGGGCTCTGGAGGATCGGCCTCCACGACCTCTTCACCTCCAAACTCAGCTTCAGGATCCACCATGTCTTCCACACACCGTACATTCTTTGCCACGAGATAGGCACCCGATGCTCCTCGTAGAAGGACATGGCCTTCTTCGGTTCGGGGAGTTGGACACAGATACACAGCGTGCTCCCAACGCAGGAAAGGTCTTTTCGATTTGCCTGTGGGATGCTTGCTCTTGAAGATCACCTTCTGGCCGAACCTTGGCAACCTCCCACCTAACTGCAACAGGCGACGGCGATGTTCGGCACATGCGAAAGCCATGGCCGACGGCCACTGCTCCACACCCAGACCAGACGAGGCTAAATGCAACCGGGCTCTTGCTTTAACCCACCCAACCAACCTTTCGGCTAAACCGTTCGACTTTGGATCATCTCCCTGGGTAAAGGAGGGCTGGATAAGGTTAGACTGCAACCAGTCCATTGTGGCCTTGGACATCAGTTCCTTAGCACGATCGGTGTGGACTATCTTCACAGGATAGCCAAGTCGATGGCACTCGGTGACCACCTCCTGTAAGCCAGCTAGGATCAACGGACCCTTCCTGGCCTTCAGAGGCACAGCAAACCTCAACACCTT